TGTGACCAAGTCAATAAATGCGTATGCAAATGGGTGCATGGGTGCGTGGGTGGATGAATAGGATGATAAAAATTTGTTAAAATCATAGTAGCCATCTCCAACAAAATTTAACTACAAATTTCAAAAAAGTATGTGAATAAATGTGTGAATGCGTGGATGCATGCGTGGGTGGGATAAAACTTAAAAAAACCACACAGCAGCTTTCTCAGAAAAATTTGCAACATTTTGGTACTAATTTCGTGAAAATTGGTCCATAAATGCGCATGCGTGTGGGTGGAGGTGTAACACTTGAAAAAACCACATCGTCGCCAAAAATTTGCAACATTTTGGTACCAATTTTTTAAAAAATCCGTTCATAAATATGCGATTGTGTGGGTGGATGCGTAGGTGAAAGCGTAAACTTAAAAAACCCCACACACATACAGAGAGAGAGAGAGAGAGAGAGAGAGAGAGAGAGAGAGAGAGAGAGCGTGTGTCTTAAAGAAAGAGGGAGGGAGAGAGATAAGGAGAGAGAGAGCATGTGTCTTAAAGAGAGAGAGAGGGAGCGCGTGTGTTTTAGAGTGAGAGAGAGAGAAAGCGTGTCTTAAAAAAAGAAAATAAAATATCTGGGAGAAAGAAATAGATAACATAGTAGTCATCCACAAAAAAATTTAAACATTTATTTTGGTATAAATTTCGTGAAAGTCGAACAACAAATGTGGAAGTAGTTCGCGGTAATACAAAAAAAGAATTAATTTTTTGTGTTAAAACGGATTTAATATAGACTATATGAGGACCGCGCAAAGCGCGGTCCGAATAGAAAGGCTGGCTTTGAGGACCGCGCGAAGCGCGGTCCGAAAAGCTAGTATATATATAATATATGAGGTATTATTTATGAAGTGATCCACCCAAAGTTTTTCAATCACGCTGAAATTTGCAGAAAGTGTAGTCTTATCAAAAGTAAAATTATTCCTCAAGTTGTTTGGCCCACACTATACAGGCTCTGTGTTAACAGGGACTGGAATTTTTATCATTTTTGCCGTTACGTCCAACTTCAAACGTTGATAAATTTCAGAAGACTACTCCGATTTTAAAAAATAAGGTGTGATTTCGAAAGGTCTCTTTACGTACTTTAATCTTGTAAAATTAGTTTTTTCTTTCAATAACAATTTATATAAGATTTTCAAAAAACAATGTAAAAATCAATTTTTTCTCAAATTTAAACATCTTCGATTTTCTTCAAAAAAATCTTAAAAAGAAAGTATATTTCTCGATCGACGCAAGTCGAGACACAAGTCTCTGGTTTCTCTTTATTTGACGATGACGACTACGATGGATTTCGGAATAATTTAAAATGCTGCTTTGACTTGATCGATTCTTTATTACATTGCTCAGAGAGAAATAACTTGAGGCAGTGATAGGAATAATAATGTTCTTCTTTCGCCGAATACGTGACATTATATCAAGTAGTCCCCACGGGCGGTCTCGCAGGTCGCGAATTTTACCGAAATAAGTCGATCACTTCCTCGTGTCCTAAATTAATTCAACCCGATAACAATCGGTGCGTTATAAACGGAGCAAATATAATACTTAGTCTTTATAATAACACATACTCTCAAGATAATAACAAGCTATTGTTCGCTTTATAAGCTGTTTGTCACAACATTAACATAAAACAAGTAATAATAATATAACGATACAAAATATTATAATTCGATAAGTATGAAACAACTTCGTCGATTCTGCATACTTCGTATTTCTAATAGTACTTTTATTTTTAATGATTAGAAAAAAGTATTTAAAATCAATCTTTTTGATCAATTTTTGCTTTATTTTAATTTATATAAATTTATTCTTTTATCACACAATCATGTAAAATATGATTTTTATTTATAGAAAAGAGATGTTATAATTTATTACTGCAATAACTAATTACTATAATTAATGCTATTATTACTATAATTAATAACTAATGCTATAATTAATTACTAATTATGCTTACATATAAACTTCTATAATCTAATCTTCTTTTTTGATGAGGAATAACTTGGAACAATACAAATCCAAATCTCAATTATAATATTTATTAAATGTAATTTAAAAATATAATTTAAAAATAACATATACATATATGTATATTTTTAATATACATTAAATGACATTAAACTAAATAAATAAAACACATATATGTACTTCTTACTAATTTCCATTTCATATTACATTGACTAATTTTTAATAATTGTTTAAAAATAAAAATGTATATAAATAATACATCAAAGTTCTTCTGGAAAATGATAATAAAAGATTATGCACCTACTGTTATGCTAATAATATAAAATCAACATTTTTTTTGCAATTTGTGTTGCACATTTTTAAAGCAAAACTTAAAATAGCTTTTACTATAAAATCTATATTTTAATACAAGAGAAGCATTATCGTAAATTAAAGAAAAGTTTAATTTGCATTTATTATAAATATGAACTTTATATATGTTGTATATTGTTGTGCCTCCGGGAAGGCACGGAAAATTTTGGGGTCTCAGTCGACTGAAAGATGAGGATCCTAGGATCGGCGGGCGTTTCCACTTTGACTAACTTCGCTTGTTTATCTGAATAAATCTTTTATTTCCCTTATTTCTTGAGTTGGTTTAATTCTGTATAATCCCACCTGGGTGGTTAGTTAAGTATGCTCGCTCTCGATAGTCAGATTACAGGTGATAGTTTATATTCTGCGGCTTGTCTTCGACTCCTAGTTAGGTTCTAATTAGCGACTTGACTTTTTGGATTTTCGTTAACGACTCACTTCATCGCCTCGCTCTCCGTTCGCGGTGGTCTCCTGCCCTTTTCTACATCTTTCGGGGGAAGGTGTAGAGAAACTCTTTCATTGGCTAATTTTTATTCACACGCTTTTATCTAGGTGCAAGCGAAGCAGGTTGATTCTTCGCTTGCGATCCGCGGTTTTCGGTGTAACGCTTATATTTCATCGCGTTTGCGTCTTTTCGCGATAAGCGCTTCACGAGAGCGTGAGAACGTTTCTCAAATAATTGTATAAAGCCGACTTACTAATTTATTATTAAAACTATATATAATATAATATAGTTATAGTCATTCGGACTATAACAATATATTTAAATTTTATTGTATTTTAATTCATAAAAATTTTATATTATTTAATATTATTGTTCAATAAATAATATTCTTATCTTTAATAAATAATATTGTTTCTTTTAAAGATATAAGACAGGCAATAAGAGCCAACTCGCGGATGACAGTGCGTTATCCTAACGAAACTAAATTTTTCGTTAGGATTAAGTATCTGTGCACAAGGCACCAAATTTTACTTGGTCACGGCCAAGATTTAAAATATGAAATAATCTCATATTTGAGATTATTTTACCAATTTTACTTGGTCACGGCCAAGATTTAAAATATGAAATAATCTCATATTTGAGATTATTTTATATTTTAAATCTTGGCCGTGACCAAGTAAAATTTGGTGCCTTGTGCACAGATACTTAATCCTAACGAAAAATTTAGTTTCGTTAGGATAACGCACTGTCATCCGCGAGTTGGCTCTTATTGCTGTCTTATATTGTTTGCGTGTACGCTCGATTGCTGACGTTGAACGCTCACGCACGAAGCTACGGATCCTGACAATCGGGTTGTAAATCCGATCGTCGATATCCGTCTCGTGTATAGATTGCACAGGAAGATTCAAAGTGGACTGTATCTTAAGGAGGGTGGACGCGCTCCGATTGGTGCGCAGGATGGGTAACGATTTAAGCCACGTGCCGAATCGAGAACCAGAATACGGAATTATATGCACAAATTACACAAAAACAATCCATTTATTAACTAAATTTGTCCGAGAGTCACAATGTACATAAACGCAAATTAATTTGAAACCTTTACATAAAATCTTTATCTATTAACGAATAAAATAGTCACCGCGAAAACACGTACGACGTGGTTGTTAAGCAGTCCGAAATGTCTCACTATATGGTATCTAGCATGTGTTGCATGGACACCACCGAAAAACTATTTGTTGCATAACAATTGCTAGTTACGATGAACACGCTCGAAACTCGTGTATCGAATCGTTCGAAATCTCACATTAAGATTTTGTACACGTTGCCGATTGCGGCGAATGCGATATTAAATCGCGAACCGAAATGTTTCAATTAACATGAAGAATCACTGATCACATAAATGTTACAGTGCGTTGAGCACCACGGGCTCGAAGGGATGAAAAAAAGGAACGCAAACACAATCACGACATCAGGTATCAGTCCCAGATGACTGATCACGTGATCTGCGCGCTCCAACTCACGTGATCTACGCGTGCCAAGCGAACACGCGCGAGCCTCATGTATACAATTATTACGTTCGTGGAAACAATCGGACTTCGGCACCTTGATATTTCACCATTGCGTGAATTCTGGTCCCAAATCACTGAATTCCGCTTCGTTAACAATGTTTTGAGCGCAAATTTTATGTCGCGTATATAACGGCGCACCTTGTTGCTACCGTTAATTAGCGAATGTCAAAGTGAACGTATTTCACATCTCACTTATCACTGAATCACAGCAGAATATCAATCTGATTATTTTTTTTTATTAATCAAACGAACTACGAACAATTAGAATCGCGACGGAAAACCCACATGTGACTAATCGCAAAGCCGTGCCAGGAGCGAATGCCCAGGTTCGATGACGAGGCAGTTCATCCCCGATCGATTCGATAATCGAACGCTTGAAGCGCGGCGTGTAGGTTCAGTGCGTGCTGCCCCGTGCCGGATTAACTCAAAAATTATAGAATTTCAAATTATCGACCTACTTCTTCATTCTCTTTGAACAAATAATAAAGTTCTTGACCTGGGGTCAACTTACTTCTGAACATACCGCCCGCCTCGAAATAAAGATTTCGAAATGTCTTACAGTAACTAAAGAACTTACCCCAGGTTTGGGTTTTTTTTTGTTACATAAAGAAAAAAAAAAAAGAAAAAAATAAAACGTTAATCGCTTAATGATTTTTCGAGTGAGATTCAGTGATTACATATTGAACAATAACAGGCATTTGGTTGCTTACATGATTGAATAACAATATTAAGACATAGATTCTTACTAAACTTACATTAACGCGACGCGAGTGGTCTTGAGTAGTCAAGGATATTGAGCGCCGCCCGCCTTAACTAACTACGAAGGACTTGACTTGTCCTAATTATGCGAACGATTGAGACGTTGCATGCGCATTATGGAGTTGGGTTTTCCGCAGTACCTGTCTTACGTTCCGACAGTTGATCGATTAAGTTAATATCGATAGGTAGTAGGCACAATTTAGTTACTGGTCGCTTGTATTCGGACGTCGCTGTTTTAACTGAGACGACTCGAGTTAACCCGTCAGAGCCCGGATGACAATGAATAACTCGCCCTAATTCCCATTTACACGGTGGGAGAAGGGGGTTTTGAATCAAAACCATTGAGCCAACCTGAATCGGAGGCGTTTCTCGACGCCACTTTGATCTTTGTTGAAGAGTATTGACATAATCTGACTGCCACTGCTTCCAAAAACGCTCCGTAATCTGTCTGAGTAATTGCCATCGCGACAATCTGTTTTCGTTCAATTGTAGAACGGAAGGTTCCGGATTCGTAGTAATGGCAGTCCCAATCAAAAGGTGACCTGGGGTCAGGAACTCGTAGTCATCTGGAGTATCATTGAGTGGAGAAAGCGGCCTTGAGTTGAGGATAGCCTCAATTTTGCACAACACTGTCGTGAACTCCTCAAATGTCAATGCGTGTGAGCTTACAATTCGACGAAGGTGGTGTTTGACACTCTTCACTCCTGCCTCCCATAGTCCTCCAAAATGAGGAGCATGAGGCGGGATGAAACTCCAAGTGATCCTATCTGTTGCGATTAAATTGAGAAAATCCGTATTGCGTTGAGCATCCCGATACGCGCGGGATAGCTCTTTATCGGCTCCTGTGAATGTTGTACCGTTATCCGAATACATAACTGCTGGCAAGCCTCGTCTGGCGCAAAATCGTTGAAATGCGTTCAAAAATGCTGGCGTTGAATAATCGCTGACCAACTCGAGATGAATGGCTCGAGTTGCCAAACATATGAAAACGGCTATGTAAGCCTTTCGTGAGGTGATTCCTCGACCAGCAGAGGCTCGAATGAGCACTGGACCGGCATAATCGATGCCGCTGTGCAAAAACGCCCTCGTTGGCGTTGAGACTCGAGTTGATGGGAGTTGACCCATTAACTGATTGGCTACCTGAGCTCTTTCTCGCGTGCATCGAACGCACCTGTAGATAACTGATTTAACTAAAGGCCTAGATTTTATAATCCAAAATTCTTGGCGAATTTTAGACAGGGTAGACTGAAGACCGGCGTGCAGCGAGGCTATGTGCGTGTAGCGAATGAGCATTGTAGTAATTGGATGATCAGCTAGTAGAACTGGATGTTTGGATTGAAATGGTAGATGAGAATGCTCCAATCTTCCGCCAACGCGGAGTAGACCATTTGCGTCTAGGAATGGATTTAATGATATCAGAGCGCTGTTTCTTGATAACCTCTTGTTTGACTTGAGTAAGTAAAGTTCTTGCTTGAACACCTCTGCTTGAATCATATGCAACCAAAAGTTACGAGACTGCATGTACTCAAATGCTGTAATGGCGTGGGACCGGACGTGATCTTTGTGATCTGCCGCGTGCTTCCGTTGACATTTGTTTATGAATCGGTATATATATGCAGTGACGCGTATCAATTTTGGCCACCATGAATACCGTGCAGCAAGACTCCAGTCTTCACGAGTACTGTTTTGATGAGCTTCACATGCCTTCAGTTCCAACTGAGTTTCGTGGTGCTCTGATAGAATTTGATGAGGCCACTCATCAGAATGAAGATGCAACCATGACGGCCCATGCCACCATAGGTTGATGGATATCAAATCTCGGCCGAGTAATCCGCGCGAAGCACAGTCTGCGGGGTTTTCACTGGTGTTTACGTGATGCCAACTACCGGTTGGTAATCGTGTCTGAATTTCGGCTACTCTATGAGCTACGAAAGTTTTCCAATTTGAGGGGTGCTTCTTGAGCCATGCGAGAACTACAGTGGAGTCTGTCCAACAATAAATCGCAATGTCGCTTAAATGAAGTGACTGCTTGATAAAGTCAATCAAGCGAACTAGCAGAACGGCAGCAGAAAGTTCGAGGCGAGGAACCGTCATTGGTTTAAGAGACGCGACTTTAGATCGCCCAGCAATGAGCGAGACCGTAATTTTCCCAGAGGAGGATGTCACGCGTAAAAACACCACTGCTGCGTAAGCGATTGTGGATGCGTCCGCGAACCCGTGTAATTCCACAGTTGCCGTTCCGGACTCAAAACCTGTCCAGCGACTCAGTTGAATTTTTCGTAGATAGGGTAATGACTCGTAGATAGACTTCCAGGATGATAAGATTTCGTCCGGAATAATGTCGTCCCATCCGATACGGTGTCGCCATAATTGCTGCATGAGAGTTTTCGCCTTTAAAATCGCAGGTGTGACCCACCCGAGCGGGTCGAATAATCTTGCTATTGTTGATAGAATTGCTCGTTTGGTGTTAGGAACAGTTTCAGATAATGTAATTTGAAACTGAAAGCAGTCATGTTTCGGGTTCCAGACAATACCGAGGATTTTTAGACTGTCATCAGTCTCCAAATTTTTTGCGTAAGCCAATCCATGATTGTCAGGCTGAATATCTGAAAGCAATTCTGAGTGGTTACTGGCCCATTTCCGGAGATCGAAACCACCACGGTTCAGCAAATTACAAAGTTGAGTGCGAGCTTGCTTTAACAGTGTGATATCGTCTGCACCAAATAATACATCATCGACGTAGATGTTTTCTCTTAGGATGGGAGAGGCTAACGGAAATGAATCTCCCTCGTCACAGTTCAATTGTTGGATTACTCGAAGAGCAAGAAACGGTGCTGACGCAGTGCCGTAAGTAACGGTAAGGAGTTGATATTCCTGTATAGTTGAGTTGTGGTCGACCCACAGTATCCGTTGGTAGTCTCTATCTCTAGGATCGATTAATATTTGGCGATACATTTTAGCGATGTCCGCAGAATATACATATTTATATTGCCTCCAGCGCAATATAACTGCTTGTAGATCGGACTGCAATTTTGGGCCGGTGTACATGTGAAAGTTGAGAGACGTTCCATTGGATGTGAGGCAGGAGGCGTCGAACACGACTCTTAAACGGGTTGTCGAACTTGTCTCCTTGATGACTGGATGATGAGGTATATAGGTCGCTTGAACATTATTTGAATGCAAAGGAGCGACTTGCTTCATATGATTTAATTGCTCATATTCGCGCATGAAGTCCAAATATTCTTGTGCAAGTGTGGGTTGACGAGCAAATTTACGAATTAGCGACGAAAGTCGGCGTTCAGCTATGCTGCGAGAGTCGCCTATTTTAATAGGCGGGCCTCTTTAAAAGGGAGTCGCACGACATATCTGCCATCTGCTGTTCTAGTATGCGTGCGTTGAAAGTGATCCTCGCATTGTTTATCTTCTATGGACGCATGAACATGTTGAGGAGTTTCTTCAACCTCCCAAAACTTACATAATTGCCGTTCCAAGGAGCAGCAGTGCAACTGCATGATACCTTTGTTGTGAACTGGGTAATGGTGAGCCTTGAGGTTGGGCTCCGACATGCGATGAAACCAAAGTAGAGCCGACTACATGGGTGTTTTGTATGACATGATTAGGGATTGACGTAGGTCCAGATAGAATCCACCCGAAATGCGATTGTATAGCGTCTGGTTGACCTATGGGTCCATTGCGTATATTGACAAGAACCTTGCTATACAAATCAGCTCCAATAATGAGGTCAATAGGAGTTGATCCAGTCGGATCGTCATCCGCTAAGGTCAAGTTGGAGATGTGTTTCCAGTCACGTAATGACGAAGCGTGTCTGGGAGCATACTTCGTCAATGCTCTCATGATGTAAGCTACCGTGGTGAAGGTTGGCTCAGGTTTATCGCGAGGCGAAATATTAATTAACGCGGCAGATCGGCATGTACCGGTATCTGCACAGCTAATCCCCGAAGTTGAAGTAAATGTTTGCATACGAGGTAAGCGTAAAATTTGCGCTACGCGTTCCGTAAGAAATGTGAGTTCTGAACCACCGTCAAGTAAGGCTCTGACAGTTAAGGAACGTCCAGAAAGCGAATGTATTTTCACCGTTGCCGTAGACAACACCACAGGAGTCGGTGATGTAGTTAACGTGACCGCTGAAAGCGCTGTGACATTTGATATATTAGTAACATTCTGCGAACTCGATGACGCAGGAATGCTCGTTGTTTGTTGCAATGAGCCCGAGTCAACGTGGATCATTGTGTGATGCCGCTTGCTACATTTGCGACACGTGAATTTACTCTGACAATTAAGTGCTACGTGCTTATCGCTTAAGCAATTGAAACATCGCTTAAGTTTCTTTATCAATTCGCGTCGTTGATCCGTGCTCATTGAAAGAAATTGTTGACACTTAGAGAGAAAGTGAGATTGTTTACAAATTGGACATGACAAATTAACTGACGCAGTTGCGGTGGCGCTTGTCACTCTCGAATGTGACTTCGTTTTATCGTGTTCGTGAGGATGGAGTTCCTCAAGCGCTATAGCGCGCGAAGATATGAAACGTATCAAGTCTTTGTACGTTGGAGGATTTTCGTTATCGCTACTCTTCAATTTCCACGCTCGACGCGTAGCAGAATCAAACTTTTGTGAAATGAAGTATACTAATATATCGCTTACAATATCCTCTGCTGTACGATCAAGACGTTTCAATGTCGCTAACGCTTGTTCCGTTTTATCTCGCAACTCGTGAAGTTCTGACGCTGATTCGCGAGTCATCTTTGGAAGATGATATAAGGTCGACACATGTACTTCGATCAACCGTCGTTTGTTCTCGAAACGCGTGGTTAACGCTTTCCACGCGACCTTAAAATTTTCGGCGGTTACTTTGATTCCTGATATCGCATCGCGGGCCGGACCTGTCAAACTAGAGATCAAAAAATGCATACGAGTGAAATTTGACAATTCTTTGTTATCTATAATCAACGACTGAAAACGGTCGCGAAAGGTCTCCCAATCCTCGTTTTTTCCAGAAAAAGGCGGTAATTTAATAGGAGGGAGATGCTTTAACGAGAATGACGATGCGTCCATTTGCGCAAAAGAAGTTTCGAGGGATGTATCTCGACTTACGACAGGAACCAGGTCTTCTAGACATTCGTTCATATGATCCAGGGCTGATTGATAGAGATCTTCGTGAAGGTCGAATTGATTCTTCTTGAAATAATTAATTGACCCTTGATCATCCTCTGGAACAAGTTGAAGCAGAATGGTGTGATTGTGCACACCTTGAGTCCATTGAGCTTGTAAAGTCGCAATCCGTGAGCGAACCCTTGCGGCCGTCAAATTAGAACGACCAATCTTTTTGAAATTGTCGAGAGCTCGAGCAATTGAGTGGAAGATAGTTTGCTGATTTGCAAGAGCGTCTTCCATTTTGACACTATAGTTGTTTATGAATATGTCACTAACACGATTGTCTACTTAAACGCGATTACTTGACTGACTGTATCTCGAATCACGCTGCACTTAAATATCACTGGTGTCCTTAATTCAGTGTTCTCGATTCGTCATTACTCTCCCATCCGGCTCGAAGGACCAAAAAATGTTTGCGCGTACGCTCGATTGCTGACGTTGAACGCTCACGCACGAAGCTACGGATCCTGACAATCGGGTTGTAAATCCGATCGTCGATATCCGTCTCGTGTATAGATTGCACAGGAAGATTCAAAGTGGACTGTATCTTAAGGAGGGTGGACGCGCTCCGATTGGTGCGCAGGATGGGTAACGATTTAAGCCACGTGCCGAATCGAGAACCAGAATACGGAATTATATGCACAAATTACACAAAAACAATCCATTTATTAACTAAATTTGTCCGAGAGTCACAATGTACATAAACGCAAATTAATTTGAAACCTTTACATAAAATCTTTATCTATTAACGAATAAAATAGTCACCGCGAAAACACGTACGACGTGGTTGTTAAGCAGTCCGAAATGTCTCACTATATGGTATCTAGCATGTGTTGCATGGACACCACCGAAAAACTATTTGTTGCATAACAATTGCTAGTTACGATGAACACGCTCGAAACTCGTGTATCGAATCGTTCGAAATCTCACATTAAGATTTCGTACACGTTGCCGATTGCGGCGAATGCGATATTAAATCGCGAACCGAAATGTTTCAATTAACATGAAGAATCACTGATCACATAAATGTACAGTGCGTGAGCACCACGGGCTCGAAGGGATGAAAAAAAGGAACGCAAACACAATCACGACATCAGGTATCAGTCCCAGATGAATGATCACGTGATCTGCGCGCTCCAATCACGTGATCTACGCGTGCCAAGCGAACACGCGCGAGCCTCATGTATACAATTATTACGTTCGTGGAAACAATCGGACTTCGGCACCTTGATATTTCACCATTGCGTGAATTCTGGTCCCAAATCACTGAATTCCGCTTCGGTAACAATGTTTTGAGCGCAAAATTTTATGTCGCGTATATAACGCGCGCACCTTGTTGCTACCGT